GACAGCCCCGATCTTTTTAGGGCCAGAACATAGTCTAAGATGTGTGGAATAGTCGCAGATGTTGGTATACTTCACAACAAATCTCCCCAAATCCGAAACCTGGACCATTTTTGGAGTTAAGTACCTCATGTTTGGAACTTTCTACTGTGTAATAATACCTCTTGCACATCATTCAAACAGGAGCTTTCTCGGTGTTTGAACCAAGGAGGCGGAGAACGCCCAAGCTGGGATGTAAATCCTGAAAGAGGAGATATGGAGTGACTGGGAAAGGGATCAGCAGGCATGTGTCACACTGTGACAAGTAAGGGAACCAGGTGTGTCTCGGCCAAGAGGAGTGATCAGAATGACGTGTGCTGTCTCTTTTTATTTAAAGCAGAACCTTCAAAAAGGAGGAAAGGCATAAAGAAGGTCCCCATGCCAGAGGAGGAGGAGTGCATCACCTAGGGAATGTTGTCCTATCCCTGCTCTGGAGCAGTAACATGGACATTTCTTGTACAGATAAATGGCAAACAAGTCTGTAGTCAGTGTCCCCACCGACCGAATAGATCGTGAAGTACTACTGGGTCTAGCTTTCACTTGTGGTCATGTGGGTGTCACATTACACCCATATTCTTCATAGAAATATTTGTTGTGATATGAATATAGCAGAATTAAGATATGTTTTATGTAAGATGGGTTATGTGAGGCATCACTGAAAAGGTTATGATCTACTGAATGTGTTTATCCAATTTGTATGCATGTATCATTTCTGTATCTGAAGTTAGGAATATTGACTATATAACAATTACAACTGTGTGTGTACGTGGGGGAACGTCCACCAGATAGTAAGCAATCAGCCTGAATGAGCCGTTTAAGGACAATAGATCTTTGAAGATACTAATCTCCCACCTTCCTGAGGAGCTTCCTGGAGTGTTGCTTTGACATTGCAGGGTCATCTGATAATGTAACCTGGTATGGACACTGCTGGTATTTTTCCAGTGGAAACAAAAGATTCCTGCTTTATGTAAATTCTATTTAAGACTGGGAAGTATGGCAATCAGGACTCTTCTCCATTGCCTCCCTGTCCAAGAAGGAAGATTGCTAAAATCGCCTGAAGGGAAAGGTAAGGGCTGAGTCCAGGCTGAGACAGGGGTCCAGTCTGTAAAGAGAAATAACTGGAACTCTAAGCTACAGGAACTCTACAACCTGCCTAAAACAATATTTAGGGTGAAAATTACATTTTGTAACCTGTTTCTTGAGTGTATTAAGCTTAGTTTGCATGTTTTGTTTTATTTGCTCAGTAATCTGCTTTGTTCCGTTTTCTATCCTTTATAATCACTTAACATTTATCTTTTCTAGTTAATAAAATTATTTCTTGTTTATTTCAAAACCCAGTTTGTGCAATTCATATCTGGGGGAGGAGAGGGAGGAAAAAAAAGCTGTGCATCTCTCTCTCTCCACATTGAGGGAAGAGGGCACATTTTTATGAGCTTGCGCTGTGCAGATCTTTCTATACAGCACAGGACAATATTATTTTGGGTTTATACCCCAAAGGAGGTGTGCACGTGAGTGCTGGCCATTCTCCTAGCTAAGTCCCTTGGTGCCGCTGACTCAGTGCCCATGCCCATTGGGTCCATAGGCTTGTCAATGGTACCTGCCACTGAGGTCTTCCATGAGCCATGGGTATCAGACTGAAAAGGTCTCAGTGCCGGCGGTACTGAGGATACTGAGTTTGCTAGAGAACGTTTACAGCTATCTCGGTGCTCACTGTGGGGACTTCTCACTCTCTTTTTTGATGATTTGTGAGAAGGGTCAGCAGTTTGTTTCTTTGACCTACAGTCTAAGTGTTAAGGGCTGTGGGAAAGACTCACATCTGCCAGGTGACTTGTGGTGCAGGTCTGGAGAGGGTTGGAGAGCTGCCTCCTTGAAGATAACCTGCCTGAGCTCTCTATACTTAGAAGACCAGAGCCTGAGTTGCTGGCAAAGACCACACTTTTGTTGGATGTGGCCTTCCACGAGGCAGCGAATGCATTGGGAGTGCTTGTCTGCGATAGGGACTGCCTCTTTGCAAGAGAGGCGCTTCTTGAAGTCCGGTGAGCTGGGTACACCCCGTTGGGGGAAGGGTCCCCCAATGAGGGGAGGGGAGGAAGCAGGAAAAGAAACTAAAGGTTTTTTTATTATTTTATTTTAAAAGGTGAAAAATAAGCAAAGAGAAAAAACTACAACTAGAACTACAACTAAGAACTAGGAGACTAACTAACTATAGAAATACAAATAGAAGTAATGGTCTTAATGGACTGCGAATAGCTCCGTCTCTAGCTGGGGCAGTTGAAAAGGCACTGAGGGGAGTTAGCCCACGCAGCACAAGGAGAGACAGTTCATGTGCGGGCCTAACAGACACTGCTACTGAAGTTCTCCAATCTGCAGCGCAGGGACGGAAGCACACCTACAGTGAAGCACCTGTAGGGACACTACTCAAAGTACCACTGAATAGTGTGAGCAACAGCTGCCCCAGCCCCACCATCAAGTAAAACTGCCAGATAAACTCAATTAATGTACTGGATTATAGGAAATTTCATTTCCTGCTCCCCACAATCACCTTCCACCCCAATCAGTGTAATGTTGTCCACTTTGGTCATATTAAGAACAACATTAGTTTAGTATCCACCCCTCACCAGGGAGCTATCTGCCTCTCCCATCTACCAACATTTTGCCATCTTCATCTCGTGAGACAGGCGACGGACCTGTCTGGTTTTAAGATTAAGTTAGATAAGTTTATGGAGGGAATGGTTTAATGGTAAAACATAGTAGGCAAGGAAAACCAAGCAATGGTAGGTAAATAGTATAATGGCTAACAGGAGTCAGGCTGGAGACGCTTGCCTATATGCTCGGGGTCTTACTGATCGCCATATTTGGGGTCGGGAAGGAATTTTCCTCCAGGGTAGATTGGCTGAGCCTCTGGAGGTTTTTCGCCTTCCTCCGCAGCATGGGGCAGGGATCACTAGCAGGAGGGTCTCTGCTGATTGAAGTCACTAAAACACAGGATTGGGGACTTCAACGGCAGAGTCCAGGGAAGGGGTAGGGACGGTTTTATGGCCTGCAGCATGCAGGGGGTCAGACCAGATGATCATAATGGTCCCTTCTGACCTTAAAGTCTATGAGTCTATGAGATCACTTGCAGTTTCCACCTCTGTTCCATAAACATAGTCCATTTATATAGGATACTTCTTTGCACAACTTCTTCCTTGAGCATCACCATTCCTACACTGGGTGTAATCAGGGCCGCCCAGGAGGGGGGGGGGGGGGGGAAGTGGGGGCAATTTGCCCCAGGCCCCACAGAGGCCCCCACGAGAATATAGTATTCTATAGTATTGCAACTATTTTTTTATGGAAGGGGCCCCCAAAATTGCTTTGCCCCAGGCCCCCTGAATCCTGTGGGCAGCCCAGGGTGTAATCTATGCTGTGCAACTGAGGTGGCAGGATGAGATCTGTCAATCACCATGTCAGGGGCTGGCTCTACCTTAAGGAACACAACCCAGTGAGAAGGCATCCAAACCTGAAAGCCCACTTCATTATTAACTTCCCCAATTAAATCCATCTGCAGAACACAGCAGTGTAACTCTTCTACTGATCTGACCCAAAATGTAGAAGAGTAAAGGTGAATTAGGACAAGCCTGAACAGTCAAAGAGAACTCATCAGATATTATCCTGGCTCAAACCCGCAATGCAGGAATGGCAGCAGCAAAACCTCCTGGCTGAGCTCAGAGTGAATGTTTTAGAGGCAAAACTTTTGCTTTCCATTTGTTAAGACAATATCCCAGGACCAGAGGCCTCTGCAGATGTTGTCTTCACTTCTCGTTTGCAGCATCTGGCAAAAGCCTGACAAGATGACCAAGTTGCTGCCTTACACATTTCTTCATACAGCATGTGACTTTTCAGCCTACAATGTAGACGTGTGCTCACTCTTAATAAGCTTTGATCGTTACATTCCTTTAATACAACATCCTTAGCCACCTGGTAATATATGCGTAAGGCACTTTTTCACCTTTAACTGGTGAGTACAGAACAAAGAGAACTGTTGGGTTTCTATATGCACAACAGCTTACCCGAAGATAGGCTCAATTAACAGCTGTAAGAACAACACCCAGTGCACGTCACTTTGTCCTTCCAATGCTTAGATTTGGTGCACAGTGAGGGCAGAGGACCCTGAAACCTGTGGAACACGCTTTTGGTATGAAATCTGAGCATAGCCACGGAGTCACTGTGGGAAGTACAAGACTCTGCCTGCTGATGAGAGGGAACTGAGGGAATCTGTTTCTGTCCTGCTGGGTTTCAGGGAAGCCAAAGCAGAGCCAGGGCTCACTCTGTGCTGGACTCTGGGCCAACGAGGGCATGTGCCACGAGCCAGGGAACTACTTACGGCAGGGCTGGGAACTGGAGCAGGCAAGCGAAACAAAGCTGCAGCCTTCTCCTGCCTAGCAAAGCTGCAGGATTGCTGCGCATGAAGCTCCCAGCTCTTTGTCTTTACAGAGGGTGGGGGAGGGGCCACTGGCTTCCTGCTGCGGGGGCCCAATAAGATGCCAACCCAGCTGAGAAAAGCAAAGGAACCAACAGAGCCAAATGGGAATCTCTTTCAAAGGATTTCCTGTGTGCTGTCACTTGGGGGGGGGAGGAGAGGGGGAGCAGAGCTGGAAACTGTGTAGTTGCTGGTTCCAGCAGGCAGCTTGAACTCTGTTGTGTTCTGGGACAGGGGAGCAAGCCCCAGAACCAGTGAACACCAGGTCAGTGGCACAGCAGAGGTAAAACCTAAGACAGGAGGGGCAAGCCTGAATGAGGGAGAATGAAGCCACACAAAAGAAAGTGGAGCTGCCTAGCTGCCCTAGTCCTGTTTACTACAGTGGCTCACTTGGGACCACTCCTTCCCTGGGTGTGTTAGAAGAGAGCACAGATCAGAAAACCACCCAAGCTACTAATCTGAAAAGGGGGAGGGGGGGAAGAGGGGGATGATACCCCAGACTTACCATTTCATTAAGAACATTAAATCTCCACAGGAGTCTGTGGCACCGATGATCTTTTCTGGCTCTAATCCTCTTTCAAAGCCCCTGGCAATATCGTTGCTCTGGCAAGGATAGAATGGGATGAAAAAAAAAATTATAACGATTTATATTATCTTTGGCCATTTCTTTACATCCTGACAATTTAGAACGAAGCAGGCTTAAAAGGGCATCGGCAACCCTCTGACATGTAGAAATATGGTGGGGTTATAAACAGATGGCAAGACTCCTTAACTTCTCCATGTGGTTATTTGGAATCTACAATTCATGAGTCAATAGAATCAATAATAATGAACATGGAGAGAGGGGAAAACAAGGAAATCCATAAAGACAAGCCACTATTTTAGTGAAGTCAGTTTAAATTTACAGCTGGTGAGAAGTCCTGGATTGATAACAGACATCCGCAAAGATCAAAGTCTGCTCTCCCCAGAAGAGGTATAGTTCTGGCTGCAGTGATGCTAGCTTCTCGAGCCTACCACCAACTCCAAAGGAAGAGGAGAGTCTGAGTCTGTCCATGAGGTCTCTGGCTGAGGCTGCCAACAATGGGACAATTGGTGCATTTTTACTGACAGTTTGAGATGGGGCTTGTGAGCGCTGGAGAGAGGCAGGGGTGACACAGCTCCTTGCACATACCATCTGATGGCTGTTAGGTGGCCTGACAGCTTTCAGTCACCACAGGCCATAATGTCTGGGGCAAGGTTTCTCTATTTCATTGCAGCAGCACACGGTATTCTCAGATACGCATGTTTGCTGCTTGCCATGCTGTACAACAGATGCTGCTATGCAGATCAAGAGGCAAACAAAGAGACAGTCAGCTTGGCTTTGGATGCACTAAAAACATTTGTCAAATGAAAAAACGTTCAGAGGGTAATGAGAGAATACAGACCCAAGCAAAAACTGGCTACTTCACTAGTGACTGGGAGACTCGCTGGGAATGCACCAATTTCATGAATCAGTAAACCAATAAAATACAAAAAAAATCTAAGCTACTGCATCACAATTTGGAGACAACAGGTGTTTAGTTTTTATATTAGAGATAGGTCTAAACCAGGGATCGGCAGCCTCTGGCACACGGCCCGCCAGGGTAAGCACCCTGGCGGGCCGGGCCGGTTTGTTTACCTGCCGCGTCCGCAGTTTTGGCCGATCCAGGCCAATGGGGGTGGCGGGAAGTGGCGGCCACCACATCCCTCAGCCCGTGCCAAAGGTTGCTGATCCCTGGTCTATACCAAAAGTACAGACCTAAACACTATGCAACTTTACAAGAGTTTGGGTCGGGATGAGAACTTTGTGGATGGAACTCATCACTATCTTCAGCTGCAATACTACAGTGTTGGGGCTAATCAGCACCCAAACAACTGCCTTTGAGAACAATGGCGGCTGGACACTTTTGAAAGTCTTTCCACTTCATTTAGCTGCCTAAAGAGGAGCTGAACACATTCAAAAATATATGTTTGACCCCACTCAGCGGTGCTCAGTGCTTTCTAAAAATCTATCCCTAAACATTCTGGGGCATATTTGGTTAAAACAGGGACGTCTTATCAGTGACAGCTCAGCTACTAGATCGAGCTGAGATGTGGAGGGAAGAAGAGCATTTTGGGGGTAAACAAAGATGTGTACCTCTAGGATGTTTTACTGCAGGTGCCACACAAGAGATCACATGGTCTGAGGGGCACAGCTTAAAAAACAAATCATATTTCTGTTTGAAATAGTGGCCCTATTATTATTACATACAATAACGGATTACCATCGCTGAAAGATTAGAGGGGGAAAAAATTCCCAAGAGTATATTTTGTGCATTTCACAACACTTTGTGTATCATCAGTTTCTCCTACAATTACCCAGCTTTCCCTTTTGTCTTTTACACAAGAAAGGAGAGGAAAAACATTTTTTAGAAAGTGTGAATAAACCACAGAAATTGGCAGGGGACTTGGGGACAGATGCATTATCTCAAACTACTTTCCATTCTTTTTTTAAATTATATAGATTTCAAAACAATGTCCTTTGTAACAATGATTAAGAAATATCTGCTATTCCTTTTTTGCCCCCAGAAGATGTATGCAAGTCTCCAGCCTTTTAATGCTCGATCATGGACTATCAAGGCTGATGTAACACAGCAGGGGAGACTCCAGTTTCAGATACATGGCAATTGCCATGAAAAATACAGGTGGGTGCAAGCATGGCATGGATTTTTAAGACCCATTCCAGTATGTGCTGATATTTGCATCATCTCTATGGGAAACTTTGCCAAGCTAGAACATTGGAATCAGGAGACAAGATGCTTCAGCTAAGCTGCAGAAATCAAACTGCTCATTTTACTGGTGGAAAGCTTTAGTTCCAAACTTTAAATAGGATACATAATGGGTTATAAAACTGTAATCCCTACACACAAAGAGTAACCTTCTGGATATGAAATATATGACCTTATTACCCCTTATGATTTCATTACCAGCAGACAGTAGCAATGCAGGTTTGAATCTCCAATGACTTAGCCATAACTTTGTACAAACACAGCTGTAAAGGGCAGGGCATTTTTTCAAATAAGGTTGTAAAAAAAGCAACGAGAAGACAAATCTGCAGGAGATTTTCTTCAGGAAAGGAAAATCTGAGACATAAAATGTTGCTCAATGGTTCCTCATTTATATAACATTCCATATATTAGTCTCTTCCACAAAGATGGGCTTTAATAACCCATCTTCTCATGCTTTGTGCATTGGACAGTGAATTCTGCACATCTGGGAAACTTATTTTATTTTTTTAAAGGGAGTCAACATTTTTATTTTATACTTCAGCCAACAAGGCCCCCTTGCCCTCATCATAATTGAGTATCAAGGTGCTTGCAGTGCCAGTAATTTAACCAACAGGCATCATTACCTCCAGCATCCTGTCTAGATTTCCTACATTTTCAAAGCCATGTCTGGGGATTTACTTTCAATGCCCCATTGGCTTTTAATGGTGGTTAAAAGTCTGTGCAGTACTTTGAAACACAGAGCTCCTGTTTTAAGAGAAAGCATCATGTTTCTCCAGCTCTGTTGTATTCCTTGATTTCCTTTCCTCTCTTGACCATGAAAGGTCCACCCCACCACCTCTGCAATCTGGTTAAGTAGGGCTACATGATACTCTCTCTATAGCTGCTTGACCTTCCCCAGTTTCCCTGGGCATTACTGTCCATCAGCCTATACTGTAGTTCTGGCCTCCAGAGTTTGAAAATTAAATGGCTGGGTTTCTTTAAATATTTGCTAACAGATTAAAAAGGCCTGTCAGTCTTTTGTAATCGTCACAGCTATGAATAGCGCTTTGCCTCAACAAGACTAAGCCCATGACCTCCATAAAACTTACTCTGGTTTCCCAGGTCTACTTTAAAGGTATAAAGTTTGGGAGTGATATCTGGCCACATTGAAATCAATGGGAGTTTTGCCACTGATTGCAAGGAAGCCAGGATTTCACCTCTGACCTTTGAAGCCCTTACTAGCTAGACTCATCTTGGAAAATGTATTTCCCTCAGTGACGTATCATGGCAGTTATTGGCTGGTACAGATGACAGAGTCCATGGCCAAACGCTCAGGAGCCAGAGCTGTCACAGTGGAGATCTGTACAACACCCAGCTGTGTGTGTCAGGAGGAGACAATGTCTTGCCAACTGCACAAAGAGATGCATCTTTCAGGAGTTGCTGCAACAACTCTCGAAAGAGAAGAGCAGAAGAGCCCAGCAGCATTCCAGTGGGAGACAGCAATCAATAACGAAAGCAAGGGAAGGGCAGAGGAGATGGGTCCTACTTTGCACAGAAGTTGCTGGGAATCCTAACTATGCCAGACCTTTTAGATATTCAAATTTATTTGGACTCAAGATAGTTAATGTAGCCTCTTAGGGCTTGTCTACATTACCCGCTGGATCGACGGGCAGCGATCGATGCAGCGGGGGGTCAAATTATCACGTCTAGTCTAGATGCGATAAATTGACCGCTAAGCGCTCTCCTGTCGACTCCGGTGCTCCACCAGGGCGAGAGGCGCAGGCGGAGTTGATGGGAGAGCATTAGCCGTCGGGGGACTTACTGCAGTGAAGACACCGCAGTAAGTAGATCTAAGTACGTCGACTTCAGCTATGTTATTCACGTAGCTGAAGTTGCGTAACTTAGATCGATCCCCCCCACAGTGTAGATCAGGCCATAGTAACTGCACATAGTACAATAAATAAATACAAATTTTAAATTGACACTACAACAAACAGATAGAAATGTAAAAAAACCCCAAGATTAACTTTTCCCTAAAATCTGCTCCTAGATATGGCAGTGAATGAATGCTTGAGAAACATTTATGAGCAGCGAGAGCAGGCATTTTACTGATGCATCTTCTCTAGAGACCCAAATAATTGCTGCAGACTGGGACATACAGGAAAGCCTCTTGCTTTAGGCACGTATTGTTTTAAGGCAAGTTCTACTTTAAAACACTTAGTTTATGTCAAGCTTAAATCAGCATTTAAAGTCTCTTTCTTCAGTCAAACAATAAACTGTATTTCTTGTGTCCTAGCTTACTGCAGTTTGCTCCTTGTTTGTTTATTAATTTTTATTATATTTAAGACCCTAATTATTTTCAGTGATTCCATTTTTTGGAGTCAGAGGCAGCATTTAGTTCATCCTATTCTAGTGCAGCTTTCCTGAAAGTGGTACAAAGCTGGCAGACTGAAGCACAGCCAAACTGAGGTGTTGCTCTATGCCAGTTTGCCTAACAGAATACACCCTCTTGACTCTTTCGTTTTTAAAATTCTCTCATGTAATTTTTAGGAGGTTGCAGGTAGGAGATGGTTTCCACCAGCACAGATCAATATAGTCTGTGCAGAACAGGGCTAGAAGCTTGTGGCACAATGGGGTGAAGGAAAATCCTGCAAGCTCACCTCCCTCTTCTTTTTGGTTTTGATGTCCTCGGCGCTGTTGGAGAGGCTGGATTTCCTCTTTGTGCTTTCGGATTTCTCTCTTGATTTATTGTTCTCACCCTCCTTCATTTTTTTATATTTTTTCATAAACTCAGAAATCAGCTCGGGGCAGTCCAGATTCTTCTCGGGTTCCCAAGTGTTGTGTTCCCTGCCATGGAAAAGATGGGCAACAACAATTAAAACAGAGGTGGAGAAGTTTTAATGTTGCCATCCAAAGATCATAGACATTGACCTACTCTAAGGCAAAGAAAGTTAGTTGTTAGCAAAGGTTTTAAGCTGGGTTCCCCATTTCCTTTGGGAGCCCAGACATCTGCAGTATCAATACTTTAGACATCCTTGCACTTCATGAACACAGATTGCCATGTTGCTAAGTGACTCATAAGGTGAAGGTTTCAAAATGAAGCATAATCTCAGACTAACAGGAGACAGAGAATGCATTTGATTATTCTAGAATCACCTGGAAGTCTGCAGCGCTCTTCCCTGCAGTGGTAATGGAGGTCATTATCTTGAGTGAAGACATATGGATAAACCAGGTTAGACTAAACAAGGTTCTACCAGATTTTCTTTGCAAATACATACTTCCCAATCCCTCCCCCCAGGACTTTCCTTTCTGATCATCTGTGTTAAATGCCTCCCCCACAGTATAAAGCAGTGTGCATCCATTTAAACATCCCATGCCAAGATATAAACCTTGCACATTTTCAGTCATGGCTGTGCTTCATGGTTGACTACTAGATTCCCCAAGGATCTGGCCAAAAGCCATGACAAACACAGAGGACACACAACCTGCAAAAAGTTTCCCCATTGGGGCAGATTAAGAGGAAGTTAAGGGGGAGATTTTTTTTTAAAAGGCACTTGAAGTATCCCTCTTCTAAACAGCCATTTACCCAAGCTGCAGTTAATTGCATCTCCACAATAAGTCTAGACAATAACTGCTCAGGTGCACCTTCACCCGCGAATCAGTCACTGGTGCTCAAGTGAGGAGGAAGACTATAGACGAGAGTGCTGGTGAACAACTCAAGTGGAACTACCAACTCCATGAAGTGAGAGAGGGAACGCAGACGCCAAAGGGAAAGTAACTTTTGCCAGTGTTTCACAACCCACTTATGATCCCAGGCCCTCTCCTCGTGACCCACTCATTTAAATGGATGCACGCCACTCTTATCTGGAGTGAAGAAGGCAAGCTCCACCCATGAAGGTGTTTAGGAAAGCTTGAATGAGGGCAGCGAAGGTCAAATTTGAAGCACTGCCTGGAGCGCTGCTAAAGAAGATAGCCCAAGTCAGAAGGAAAGTTGGACTTACTCAGAGAATCCTTTCCACTTGAGAAGATACTCCACTTGACCCTTCACAACACGCCTGTCTAGCACCTTCTCCACAACATACTCCTCCTCATCTTCAGAGGACGAACTATCTGCTGTCCTCTTGGTTTTCTTTCCCATAGCGCAGGAAGTTCCACCTAATGCACCAAGGCCACCCAATTCCTGCAAATCGGAAGTGAAATGTTGTTAATTGTTGGCACTGATGCAGGCTTCAGCACTGCTCCCAGCCAAGGTATTGCCCACCCATTTGGGACCCTCTAAGGTTTCTCCAACTCTTGTCACTAAAGCGCCGATCCTGCAGAGAGATCCATGGGCAGAGCTCACTGCAGGATCAGGGCTTAAAAGGCCACTATAAACAGAAGGAGAAGAATGAGCGTGAACAAGACTATAGGCCTGTCATTTAAGGACTTGACAAAGTGACTTTGTCCAGAATTGCAAGATTCTTGAAGCGAGTTGGTATTTCCAGTTGAGCTGTTGATCATAGCTAAACTGATCCATTTTAATCTGCGGAAGACCTGTCTACCCTGGGCTGGATGCAGAGTTCAGTAAATAAATATATTCTGTGGATTTGCACAGCAGGAATGCCCCCATCTAGAACTACAAGTACAACCACATCTGGGGACCCAGTTACAACAATGGGGCCTACCTATGCGAGGGACATTTTTATAGAAATTCTGAACACCAGTCCAGCACCACAAGGGTTAGCAATGTTGGAAGCCACAGCACGGATGAGAAAGCGTTATCATATGGTGTTAAATGCCAGTGGGCTGTCTACATTAGGGCTTCCAGCAGCAGTGGAGCTGAATGTTCGCAATGGTGGGATTTTTTTTTTTTTAAAAACAGTTTCCTCCACGTAGAGAGGGCTTGACTGTTCTTGAACCAATGCTACAACCATTGCCTTTACAGATACCAATGGATATAATCGCCTTATCCTCCTCGGAAGGCAAATATTATCCCTGTTTTGCAGAGGAGAGAAAACGAGGCTCAGGGAGTTTGAAATCATGACTATGTTAAAAGACTAGACCACGTCAACCTATATTGAAAGATCCAGATGCGATTTAACTAGGTTGCATCCTCATGTAAAGGAAACAATTGGACTGGGGTAACACAGACAGGACCTTAAACTGTGAGCCTCAGTTTCTCCTCTCTGCAAACCAGGGATAATACTTAGCTATCTCCCAAGTGAAGTTAAATTAATCAGTATTTGAGATCTTTAAATGAAAACTGCTATGCAAGTATTATTAAAAGAGCTGAACAGAGACCATTACTTTCCAAAACATACGTGGGTCAGAAACAAGGAAAAGTTCAGCCCCAAACTAGAATTCAAGTGATTGAGAAATAAAAACGGGCTCTTTCAATCTTGACTATCACTTTACTACTGTGACACTATTGAGCTGTAGCCATTAAAGACAGGTATTCATGGGACAATAGTTAAAGTTCTGTCAATGTTAGATATAAAATGGCATTTTTCCAGGAATTTATAACTTGGCAATTAAAACCATTCCAGACTGAAACATGGGGTTATGAGGTTTCGGTCCCAGAGTGAAGTTTTAGACAAAAATTAATAAAGGCAGAGGAATCAATTACACCATTTGAGGTACAAAAGTGAAAAAAGTTGTTATAGCAGATTTGTGCTCCTATAACTTACTCTGCTTCCAGTTTAACAAGTCTAACAAATTATTAGTGCATAAACCTTGTGTGGTCCAACTGCATTGGGTATTAAGTTTTATTTTATTTTTAAATTACAGATCCCCTGTAATATAAAAGTCCGCCATTGTACATATACAGAACAGTCATTGCTGCACGTGGCATAACTAATTAGAAAAAGGGTCCCAGTTTAAAATGTTGACTTTTCAACAGTATTTCTTTGTTCACAGGCTTACCAAACTGGGAATCTTTCCAAGCTCTGAGATAAATACATATTTTTATAACCTCAGTTGTTGTTTCTTTAAAAGAGGAATTCAACAACCTACCCTCACGCCCCCAAACAGGCAGCGTGTGATTTAGACAGAAACCAGGAAATTCCAAGTTAAAGCAGACTCCCAGTTCTTAACTTGGAATTTCCTGGCTTGTGTCAGTTTAGGCCACACAGCTAATGTTCATTAAACAGTTGTGCATTTAGTCCTATGAAGCACTAGTATACCGTACTTCTGGCTCAGGAGTGGATGTATAGGCTGCCTGAGGGCAGAAAAAGCAAATGGACAGAGCCTGAAACAAGCCAATCACCAACAGACCCAATTTAATTGCACTATTTCACTGGGAGCATGAACAGGAATCCTAACCTGGTTGCTGCATCAACAGAATTGCTAACTACACATGCAGAATCTTTTATTGATGGTGAGGCTGATCCACAATGAACCTAATTTTCTTCTCAGATCTCAACAGGAGTTCGCTGAGCCTTTTTACTTGTAAAACTGAGCATATCAGCTCATGTGCCAGACACACACAAAAAGACTCATTTCTACACAGTCTATTTTCAAAGTAGAATAACACGTTAAAAGCATTTTTAATGGTGTTATGCCCCATTCACACAGCTCACTGTACATGTTTTAACACACTAAGGGCTTTTCTACACTTAAAAATGTTACGGCGGCACAGCTGCAGTATAAGTAATCCACCTCCCTGAGAGGTGGTTGCTAGGTTGATGTAAGAACTCTTCGGTCGACCTAACCATATCTACAAAAGGACTTAGGTTGTCTTAACAACGCCACCGATGTAGTTAAACCAACCTAATTTTCTAGTGTAGACCAGGCCTAATTCTATACACAAGGAAGTTCTAACACAAAGACAGAGTCTCAGAATAACTACTTTCACATGCCAAAGTCTGGCCTTTCCTGGAGAGAAGAGGGTGGGGGGGAAAAAAAGATACTTAGGGCTTGTCTACACTTGAAATGCTACAGCGCTGTAGCGCTTCAAGTGTAGACACTCCTTATGCTGATGGGAGGAGTTCTCCACTCAGTGTAAGTAATACACCTCCCTGAGAGGCAGCAGCTCGGTAAATGGAAGAATGTTTGTGTCAACCTAGCGCTGTCTACACAGGGACTTGGTTGGCTTAACATCCCTGAACGACATCGTTTTCTAGTTTAGGCCAGGCCTTATTCTTTAACTTGCTTTACTTTGACTGCAACTAAACTGCTCTAGAAACAATCCCTCCCCCAGAATTATTCAAAAGCACGGTGATTTAATTAAGGGTTACAGCTCTGTACCGGTGCACCTGCACCACTGTAGTACTTCAGTGAAGATGCTACTACACCGACGGGAGAGCTTCTCCTGTCCACATAGTTATCCACCTCTACGATAGGCAGTAGCTATGTCAATGGAGAAAGCCCTCTTGTCAACATAGTGCTGTCTACACCAGGGGTCAGCAACCTTTCAGAAGTGGTGTGCCGAGTCTTCACTTATTCACTGTAATTTAAGGTTTCGCGTGCCAGTAATACATTTAAACGTTTTTAGAAGGTCTCTCTGTAAGCCTATAATATATAACTAAACTATTGTTGTATGTAAAGTAAATAAGGTTTTTAAAATATTTAAGAAGCTTCATTTAAAATTAAATTAAAATGCAGAGCCCCCTGGACCGGTGGCCAGGACCCGGGCAGTGTGAGTGCCACTGAAAATCAGCTTGTGTGCCGCCTTCGGCATGCGTGCCATAGGTTGCCTACCCCTGGTCTACACTGAGGGTTAGATGGTATAACTAGGTTGCTCAGCAGTGTGGATTTTTTCACACCCCTGAGCAATGTAGCTATACCAATGTAAGTTTGTA